GGGGAAGGGGAAGGGGAAGGGGAAGGGAAGGATACTTCTGTCTGGTATAGTTTCAAGTCCATGTGTGACCATGTGCACTCATGCACCTACTGAGGTTTTAATTTGTGGCAGAAAGCTATTGCTAGTGAGCCTTAAAACATGGTTTCAAACAGGCAATTCAGTCTCCCACACGTAGAGTTGGAAGCTGCAGTCTATTACTGATTTCTGAGGCAGTGACAAAGTAGTTCCAACTGTACTTCTCAACCCAGCTGAAACAGCTCATAGCTTGCTACCTAATCACACCCACTAATAATCATGATGATATGAGTACTTGGAAAGACAAGGTAACACTTACTGTACCTGTGCAGAGAAAAAGATTCTGTTTTACACCTGGAAAATCTACATTAATGTCTTATTAAACTTACAGGATTTATAGTAAAAATATTATAGGGCGCCACCAAAAGCTTAATATATAAAAAGCCTTATTAACAAACAACTGACTTGCCCCTGCAAGTATTTCTGTTGAGCCTGTTCTGTTTCCTTTGTTGATGACCATGAACAAAAGACTTGCTGAGTACTCTCAATTTCCATTTCAGAGTAAGAAATGGAAGTTTTCAGCATCTTTCAGGCCATACTCAATGACATATTGAAACACTGAACCCATCTTTGAAGTCCTTAGTCAGAGATTAAAAAAGATGAATAATGCATGGAGGATATTATTGGTGAACCTCTTCAATTAGCAAATTCAGTGGGTTTATTTTCGCGTGTTCAAAGTTTCTTTATTTTTCTATTTGCCATTAGGAGAACACTTGCAGCTCCTCCATAGTTCTCATAAGAATCAGCAACCTATGTGGACAAAGGTAAAATTTAAACTACTCAGAATAGGCAGGTAGCCTGCCAGGCTCCTACGGCACAGTCCCAAACTTCCTCTAATACTTTATATATAAAACACCTTAGGTAACTTATTTAAATGCTCAAGCTTGTCCTTATGTTCTGCAAAGTACTTTTGAGAGCTTAGCTGAAAAACTCTACTGACGGATAAAGGAAACTGTTGTTCAGGAAGAAAGCACTATTTATCTCAGCAGCATATTATTCTTAGTTACGTATCTTACATAAATTACAGGCGAATCCTGCTTGCGATGGGACACACGTGCCAAAGGACAAGAGAGAGAACCAACTGCTGAAAACATCTGTAAGACATTTCCAGGCTACTGTAGTAACAGAACTGAGCTATACCTCTTGTTCCTACTATAACATATGTAACACAAGAGGCAGTGGGAGACACAGACAGCCTTCTGCATGTATCTACCATAAGGCTATCGTTCACACCTTAACTATTCTGCCATTGTCCCCTTTATCGAACACATTTATATGTTTATTGTAGCAAAAACAAGTGAGAAGGAAGACTAAGGCATCCTAGCCAATTTAGTCTTTGCCATCAGCAGAGTGGAAGGAGGGCCTTACCTGAGCTCTTGATGGGGAACAGGTGAAATAACAATGAAACTCTGAATGACTTTTCATGCAGAAATCCTTCCAATCTGGGATTTCAAAACATTTCACAAATAACAAATGGCACCCACTAATACTGCCATCAGGTCAGTAAGCTGTTACTAAACACCTTCTACAAAAAGGACAGTCAGGTATTTGTTCACACACAGAATGAAATCAGTTCTTTGCTGACAAAACACCCAGTCAATGCACCAGTTACATCATTTAAGCCTTGAGATGAAAGCATTTAGATCCTAAATTGAAGCCTAAAAGATAAATATTACTTACTTTTCCTTAAGTTCTTTTAGTGAAGCCTCCAAAGATTTGGATTTTATACTCCCAGATCCAGGTGATTTATCCCATTTGTTTTCCTCCATGTCAGCTTCTTCACCTTTTTCTTTGTGCTTTTCACTGGCCAGTTCATCTCCTTTTTCAGGCTTCTTGAGAAGCTAAGAGATATTTGTGTACATTACGATGTAAAATTATTCTCCTCTGTTGTAATACACACTTTAACAATGTATTACATATATCAGAAAGCTAATAAGATTGAAGATATCTTATTTAAATGCTAGGAATGTATTTTACAAAGTATGACATTTAAAGTTATTTACATTGGGCAGTTTACTCTTGCTAAGGAGCGACAGTCATTAACGGGCATTCAACTGCACACTTTTAAATACACTGAGAATACCGGAGCAAGCACTTACCTACTCTTCTCTCCCAAGTTTTACATATAAAGACATTATTATGGTCTACGATTTCTTTGAAATCACGTAACAGAGCTCAATGTTATTGCCAATAAAATAAGACGTAGAAACTCTACAATACTGCAAAGACAGCCAGATTAATACTTCACTCCTTGAAACATATACAAAATGTGTGCCACATGAACTACTTGGGCTAGACTGGCATACACAAGTAGGTGCTTAGTATAAATACGCCCTGACAGAAATACAGACTGAGGAAAAAATTATGATATTAGCAGAAAAGATCACATTACATTTTCACCTCGGAGATTAAGATTTTCAAGAAGTTGCAAATTTCATTTCAGTAATAAGCAGAATATCTCATCAGTCTTTTAATTCCACCAGTTTTTCTGAAATGAGCACAAGTTATTCTTCTCCAATATTTAAAATTTCTATAATGTTAGTCTTAGGTAATATTTTCCTTTTCTTTTGGAGGCAGAACTAGCTTTCAAGGTCACATCACCACAGATATGTCATAAATACAGGGTTTTGGACAACCAGTTTTGGGTAACACATTTTAGGGAGTAAGTCCCTTTTCTGCTGAACTTCTAGAGTGTTTTTTCTTTATGCCCAGATATGAAAAATCTGTAATTCAGCTACAGAACTTACTATTTTTATACATTTTGGATAAAGGAAACTGTTGTTCAGGAAGAAAAGAGGAAAGAAGTACACAGCTCTGAGGCTTCTCCCCACTACAAGATCTGGAGTGAGTCTGTGTCCTTGCGTTAAGCTACAGACTCTCACACCAATCTTCCTCTTTCAAACAGTCTATAAAGCCTTTTCAATACTACAAAATTTGGTTCAGATGAATAGTTTTTATCTGTGTCATCTTATACATTGGTTTTAAATGTCCAGACTTAATAAAAATACATGTGCCTAAGTGAAGTCATTAAAAGTACATCCATTCAGATTGTCATAAGGCAGAGCAGCCCGAAATTAGCAAGACTTTGTTATAATTTGGATAAAGCATACTATTAAAATGCATCAGTTCTGAGCATAAACACAAAAAAACTCTCTGCACATATGGCTAGATGAAGATTTACATGGCAGAAAGTGTTAAAGCCATATTCGCAATAACCTCCCAACACGCTGGCACAGAACAATTTGGTTCTGTCAGGATATGTTGGCATAGAATGTCACAGTGTTGTATAAAGACATCCGAGTTCCCTGCCATAACTGCATCAGCACATCATTGTACCTAAGGCAATCAGTCACACTTTCAAACAATACTACTTAGTCAACGCCCAACATCACTTTCCCTTCCAGTCAAAACTGGTCTGGTATCTCCATACTGTACTGCAGTACGCTAAATATGAGATACCAAAGGAACTTCTGGATAACTTCAACAGAAGAATGATCTTTTTTCATTAAGGTACCTTGATTCTTATTTCTTTTTCAGACATTTTCTTTTGCTTTTCCACTTCTTTTCTTTTACGTCTTTCTTCTTCTCTGCGCTTCCTTTTCTCTTCCTCCCGCAGACGTTTCTTCTCCAATTCTCTCCGTCTTCGTTCTTCTCTTTTCTCTTCTCGTATTCTCTGAAGAGTTCAAAATGATTAATTGTAAATTGTCCAACAGAAAACCATGTGAAACATAAATGTGGAACTTCAGGCAAAAGTCTGAACGTACCTGCTTTTCTAATTTTCTATTTTTAATATATTCCAAAAGGGGTGTTGTTCTTCTAGCTAAAACACAAAAAATTTGTGATATAGTGTTCAACTCCTAAAATATGTACTCATTTCTTTACTTTAGTACTAACCCCTTTTTTCTAGCTTTACCTGCAAGGGAGCTAAATAATTAATAAACCTATTTGTTTTATATATATTTTAAAGGCATTCCCATCATTCTGCTTTAGAAACACTGTTGTTTTTTTTGCTGTTAGGGGGGTTAGAAGCAAGAGATATGTCGCATGATTATTTAATATCTAATTAAAACCCGTATCTTTTCAGTTCAAGAGAATGGCTTTTTTCTCTTGCTCATCAAATGGTTATTTAACCAAAAAGAAAATATGTGTTCAGAATCTACTCCTACATTTTAATTTTGTACAGCAAAACCTAGCTATATTGCTGTTCATATATAGCCCACATTACTGTAATCTCACATAGCAGTTTTCAACCCCAGATTTCAACGTACATCATGAAGGAAACATTTTCATTCTCATATAACATTTCCATTTAACTACCATGTAGCATTCACCTCTCCATGGTAAAACGGGATGAATAAGAGAGAAGTGGTCTGTCCCAGGTTACCACCAAAGTATCAGCAGATTCAGTAAAACTCTGACTTCCCAAATAACAAATAAAATACCTCATCTACTGGGTCACACAGCCAGTCTTAGATTACCGAGCTGTCTCCACACTCCAAAATCTAGCCTAAGCCACCTGCCTGAACCATCCCCAAATTCTACAAAAACTTGGAGAAAACTTCTGTATCGCGTATAGCGTTCATGACTGTCAGTATTGTATTCAAACTTGAATACATGTACTTACAGCTCTGAGTAGTTGCAACAAATTTTGTCAGTCTTAGATGTCCCAGGATAGAGTTAAAAAAAATGCTTACTGCTAGAAATTGCTCTACAGTTATGTAGAGGATTCTTCCTCAAACCAGAAGAAAATTTCACTATTGGAATGCATGACAGGATATGGAAGAATAGATATTAAAAAAGAAGAAATAAAAGAAGCTATAATCAAATTTGAAACAGCATAGCCAAAATCGAGACACAATTCATACCCCAAAAACATGTGAATGTTTTTGGCTTGAAAGTGCTAATATCCTAGAGGCAACCCATTTGTTACTGATTAAACCTTGTTACGCAGTTATGAATGGGAAGGCTTGGTAGGGTTCAGTATTTTAAACAAATATCAATGGTCAAAAGCAACAACCAAAAAAATTGTTGATTTGAGATCTTCCTCGCTCTATCCCTAGACCTCCCATGCTGCCCCCCCTCCTCTCTCTCTCCCACCTACCCATAATGTTTTTGGCTCCCCAGCACCCTCCCTACTAGTCCCTCACATCTGCAGCTCTGCCTCTTTCTGCTGCTCCCATTTAAGTACCCTTGTCTGAGCAGCGTCTGCCTCTGGGCACTCTTACATGCTGAAAGTGATCACAAATTGTAACTGAAGGGTCTGGGGGAAGGATAAGCTGCACTGGGAGTCCACAACTTGACCTTAGTCATGACTGTGGTGCAAGAGGTTTAATCAGAAATTATAACTTGAAGTTCAAGGGAGAGAGACAGTGTGATGAGTACTATCAAAAGAGGAGGCCAAAAAAGAATGTTTATCAAACTTGAATCTTACCCATCTTATTTATGGGCCTGACTGCAAATAAAAATCCAAGAGGTTTTCCTTAAAATATTTAAGCAATTTTAAAAGAATATAAATTACAAAATGAAGACCTGTGCCAGCAATAGCTTTTGTATTTTATCTTGCTCTCTGCAAACAAGCCAGAAGAATGAGCTTATCTTCATCCTGTTACAGAGAAGATCTGTTCTAGATCTCTCTGTCACACCGAAACTGACGAGCTAACGCATCTGACGTGAGGCATAGAACATGCTGGTCTGCAGTAACGCTACCTGGACAAACGCTGAGAATGTGAGGGCCAATTCTGCCAGCAAAGCCCTGGGCACACCTCTCCTTGACTTCAGTAGGACTAACGCCTTTGAAACTGGACATACAACTAAACCCTTACGTAATTTTGCCATAAACTTGCTATCTACTGAAGAAATCTTTGGTTTTATATTGATAGCAGCGGCCACAGTTTTGAACAGTAGAAAAAACAAAGCAACTAATTTGATATCTTGTGATTTAACAGAAACAAAACATTAAAACTTCTAATGTAAAGCTGCCTTCGGCCAATATAGTTACTCAGAAATCTGCAACTCTCAAGACTAATCATTTTCATTGATAGAATATTTTGAAGTTAATAAATCTTTCCTGAAGCTCTAAACTTTTTGTAAACTGTAAACTTCTTAGAAAACTTGGCTTTTACTCTGCTATCAAATACTAGGGAAGACTTGGGGTAAATAAAAATCATTGGGTAACTTCCCTGTCTAGAACAGCAACAAACAAGTTTTATTGATAACAGAATTATCTAAATGTCCATACTTCCAACATTTCCATTTCCTCTAAATTGTTTAAGTTCCAAATCTCTCCAGTCAACTCTCAAACAGCAGCAAAAAGCGATAGGACAAGAGGAAATGGCCTCAGGTTGCACCGGGGGAGGTTTAGATTGGATATTAGGAAAAATTTCTTCACCAAAAGGCTTGTCAAGCATTGGAACAGGCTGCCCGGGGAAGTGGTGGAGTCACCACCCCTGGAGGTGTTTAAAAGATGTGTAGACATGGTGGGACGTGGCTTAGTGGTGGACTTGGCAGTGCTCAGTTAATGGTTGGACTCGATGATCTTCAAGGTCTTTCCAACCTAAATGGCTCTACTCTATGATTCTAAAGAGGTGGCTAATTTTACACCGTAAAGAAATAATAGCAAAGGCTGATTTTTTTTTTTCTTCTCGATTGTCACCCCTAGAAAAAAAAAGAGTAAGCGTTCTGAATGCTGTCACTTGGAGAGACAGCACATCACGTCATCCTGAAAGCTGCACACTGGCACTGAAGATTTCAGTGTGGATCTTACTAAATATTGCCCCTGAGACTGAGAAAGCGATGCTGCATGCATACATTGCCTTACTTTCAAAGCTTTTGCAGAATCTTCACTATGAGAACAGAGGCAGATCATTTCATGTTTCTCAATAAAAGCAGCTAATATCAGGGATTGATTGTTAAGTACAGCCATTCTATTTCTTTAAGAATAACTCTTCCATCTTTTAATACATCTGTGAGTGTTCAGAAGTATTAAGGACCTATTTCCGAAACCACTGCGCATGCAAAACTTCCAGTGAAGTCAAGTGATTCCAAGCACAGGGACTTAAAAGAATACGTGGGGTGTTTCCTGCCACTACTTGGCTGGATAACAAAAATTTAACTGTGATAATCTTAATCTGTTAGACTGAACAGGTCAGCTCTTGCAGGTAATATCATAAAGCTATAAAAATAAGATATTTCATATTCTCAATAGTAAGAAACATCAAGAAAACAGACCAATGAGTTCCCTTGTTTTGGCCTCAATCTCTCCCAAAAGAATCTCAGGATTGGCACAGATTTTCTCTTCATCAGCACAATAACTCTCTAAAAATTTCCTATATTCTGGATCTGTAAAGAAAAATTTTTGAATTATGTTAATACTTTGCAATGCATGACAGAAATAGAAGCTATTTTGCACTGTGACGCCAAGAAAATACGTTTACCATCTTCAATGCTCCCAGCTTTGGCATCTTTCTTCTTCAGCTTCTTTTTTGAAATCTTCTGGAATGGAGCAAATTCAACCACTGCAGGATACTCCAAACCTTAAAAGAAAGCAATGCTTAATTTTCTGAGGGGGAGAAACATTCCCTATACCCAAGTAAGATTTTCAAAACTCTTGAAACTCGTGTTGGGCAGTCTTACTTGAAATCAAAGGTGAATGTGTCTACAATCCCATCCTAAACTTCTAACGAAAAATTACACGTAGCAGTATTTTAGATTCAAAACAAAATACATTTATATTTTAATTATATCCATAAACATTACATATTTTTGGACACACTAACAAAGATTGTCAAAATGAAGGTGACTACTGTTGCATAATAAAATTCGTGCATTACGACTTATCATTCCCTTTTAATTCTTCACAGATATTCATTAATTAGAAAAATTTGCATAAAATCTCAGCCTGACAAGTGATAAGTACTACTGAGAAATGAATTTGAAACAATTGAGTTGCTGCTGTACATTTTTGTTGCCAAAAAGCTTAATAAATAAATAAATGCGGGGTAATTTGCAATAGTAAAACATACCACCTTCTTTCAGACCCAAAACTGTGAAACTCAGCATGTAGAATTGAGTGATGCTTCTTTTATTCTGTTTATGATGGACTATGCAACTTCTTGCCTGGCATGGATCCATTGTTTTGAATTCTGCCTTAAATACTGGGTTCTTCTTTGGACTGGAGTCAGAATGGTGTGTAGCTTTTGAATTTCACCTGGTTTCCACTTGCAGCAGGTTCAAGATTACACTTTGCTCAAGTCCTCTGAAAACTTGGCTGAAATCTGCTAGAACATTTGTCAACCTTATTGAACCTGGTAATCATTGTTTTAATTTTGCAAATTAAATGCAATGCCGCCACAATCCTCACCAGAGGGCACCTTTGATCAACACTTGTGCTCTTTATTTGCACAACTAACTGGCCAAACTGGCCAGCTGTGTCCAAGCTCAGTTTTGCAATGTACAGAATATTCTGGCTTCAGTCCAGCATAACACTGAAGAACATACGTAATTTAGGCGAAGTGAAGCCTTGGCAAAATCATAAAAACAGTTTCTTTCTAAGTTTCCATCTAGAACACCCAGAATTTGGAACCTGGGAATCACACACTGCAAGAAATGTGCTGTTCTCCATCTCTAGGAAAATCTATCCAAACCTGATTAAGTTAGAAGCCTACAAAATATCTCAGGTAGGAAATGCTGAAGAGGAATTTGTTAGTTTGACAGACAGCTTCTTTAGAGATCAACTCTCCAGTAAGAGCGGACAGGACTACTTTTCACAGGACCTCCCCAACATTGGGTGAACAGAATAGACAATGTCTATACAGGAAACCCACAAATCTATGTCCGTTTTATGAAGCCCATGAGATTTTTTACAGAAGGTAGGAGTGAATGAGGCATGGAAGTGCTAAAGGGAAAGCACCATTTCTTGGCTATGGCAGCTTCATGCTACTGTAGGAGACCTGGATTTATCCACACCTACATCACAGAGGTTTTCTTTACTGTTGGGCAAACTGAACATTTTAAAGATGGCAAAAGATTTTGTTGCTCTTGTTCTTGGAACTCAACTCAAGATGTCTGCAAATACTCTAAAAAGTCAAGCTGTACATATCTCAAAGCGGGCCAACCAAAAGGACAAAGTCAAGTTTTCGTCTTGCTTTTTCAAAATGGGAATAGGTGGCACAACTTTATCTCACAGAAACACACTGAAAATGTAATGGTTCATGCTTGCAACGTGTTCAGTTACTTTTGTGATGAACTGTGAAGCTTGCATAAGATAATTATCTTAATAGGATCTTGACAGTGTATTAAGGTACAAGAATGCAGATAAAGCATGCACACCACATAGACAAGCAAGACTGCATGGACAAATATATTTTACTTCATTATCTTTTAAGTGCTAGATTTTAATTTTTTTTAATGTAATTAGCTGTATATTGAGAAAAAAAAATGGCATAATTAGCAAAAAGGACGTAAATTAATGTTCTAAAATGGTATATATATATATATATACACACTTAATATCTTACAAATAGTCCAACCTTTATTGTCAATGAAGACATAGCCATCAAAGCGATCTCTAAAAAGAAGGATGTCCTCAGGATTTCTAAAGTTAATGTATGCTCTTGAGTAGAGATGAGGATAAAGGCTGCAACAAGAAACAATTTTATTTTCTGTTATTTACTATTCTGTTCAGGCTAGAAAAAAAGTAAAACTGGAAGGATCACACTGCAATTCTCATGTCCTTTGAGAAACGGCTACATGTATATCGAAGTCCTTATGTATACATATCTAATTATGTTACAAAGAGTAACTGAATAACTGAGTTCCTGGATGCAACTGTGAAATTTATTGTGAACTGAAACAAATATTTCTAATTTGTTTTGTCTCCCTAAATTGCAGAGTACACGCTTCCATCATGCAGGATCAAAGTGTTAAGTCTAATATTTGATGACTTAAGAGATACAAGTAACAGCAGTATTTCTGGGGAACCGTAAAAGCTCCCAGTGAAAGGGCAGTTGCCAAGCTGTCACTGTATTTAAAGAAATTTCCACCCTTAAGAAAGATTAAATAACCTTATAATTGGCAAGATAATCCACTGAATTATATACAGATAAATAAACTCCCTCTGACATACATGTATATCAATATATATGCAATGTCTAGTTGTGAAGAACTATTACTGTGAAAATCCAAAGCATTTCTACCAAAAGAAAGAACAGGTACTTACCGAAAATAACTCTGATTCTTCAAGAATTTATTGGCATAGATCCCACTCCAAGGGTAAATGTTTAATGTGCCTGATAAAAACCTCAGGGTTGGCATACCACCAACCACAATGAAACTGAGGTAATTTAATGAATTACCACCCGTCAGCTCAGTTATTGTGAGTCATGGCATATACGTGCTTTAAACCCCTGCAACTGCGATATAAAACAGTTTGGCTTAAACTGCCTTCACTGGTGGCTACGTATCAGACCAGGTTTTTGAAGATATCTGAACACAAGCCCATTACTTTAAAATACCTGTGTTCATAGTACTACTGCTCCACACGGCCTGTCTTCAGACAAACCACCACCAGCAGCAGAGACAGTAACGCACTCAGTTGCAACGCCATTTCAATCCCGTAGCTATTTCAGAATTAGATTTCACAATGAGTGAGAAAAAGCAAAAATGCGGGTCGGATCACAGCATCCACATGCGGCAGCTCAAAGCAAAACAGTCACTACAAATCAAGGAATTTTTTCTTTTACAAATGTGCATCCATATAGATCCCACTTTGGGTGTTCAAAGGTGACCATAGAGCAGTGCTGTCAGTAAGCAACCCAACAGTTTTGTAAACCCACCAAATTTGTGTTTGATATTGTAGCCAGGAGAAATGTTAAAAAAAGAAAAAAACAAGAGGGCTTTTTTCATTTAGATGTTTTGCAAATACCAGCTATGGAGTGTTCCTACAGCGTGCAGAGGATAAACCTTCTAACTCTAAGGAAGTGCTATTTCATCCATATATACTCCCTATATTTTGATATTCTAGGATTGGAACAGCATTGAGTGAACTGTAATTCACCACAAAAATGCCTGCCAGGGCATGGCTAGGGCTGTGCTGCTGACACAACGCAATGCTGAAAGAAGACGCTACAGCCATGGCATGCTCCCTCGTCTGCCACAGCCTACACAGATGCCACACAGCCAGGGACCGCTTGCAAACAACCTCTCGACCAAACGAGCGTGGTGGCACGCGGCTGTGTTTCGTCATGGGGTTCTACAAACCCTGCAGAATCCTCTGTGATCCCATTTGCAAACCTGCAGTCTGCACACGAAACACAAGGTATCTCGAGGGTGGCTGTGGAGGTACTACCAAGACGCAAAGCAGATGAAACAAGCCAGTGTCCTTCTCATTGGTTTCAAAGACAAAAAAAAAAAAAAAAAAAAAGATAAAATGTAACACGTTTCATAATCACATACAGTTAAAAAAATCTTTTAAAAAGGCCTACAAGGGTATGGAAAGGAAGGAATTTTATTGTGGCAATCTATAGCTGGAAGAAATGTCTCTGTGCTGCCTAATGGCTGGAACAGTAAAGAAGTCTTTTATAGCTGGTGGTTCCTAGGAAGAAGTAGAGTTCCTTCTCTATCACATTAACAGCACTATTCTTATGCTTCATGTTCATTAATGTTCACATTAAATGAGGCCTGATATTAGAGACTGATATGATTATACACTTGAAGTGCTGAAGAGTCACAAGATAAAACCAGGAATCTTGAGGGAGCATTATTTTTCAGCCCAGTTATTATCATCCGAAATTGAGAAACTGAGTTTCAGCTCCTAGCCTAAACAACTATTTCAGGGTTTTATCCATTTTTATCCATTGTAAAATACTAAAACTTTCCATAAACCAAATACTGTGAGTCAGACAAACGTCTCAGCCACTACACTATTGTGGCACTTCTCTGCCTCAGTGCACAGCAAACGGCTTCATCATATAGTTGGATTTGTTTTCTCTGTAGTAACGTAGAACCTCACGGTTGGGCACATAACCATCGCGAAACAGAACTGAAAATACAAAGACGTATTCCTTCCTCGCTTCCTTTATGTTCCTAACGTGGCTATACATTATGAAAATCTTCAAGAACTTCATTCACATCAGCAGAAGCACACTCGTGCACAGTAGGATATGGATGTGTACAGCAGCACAATAAACCAGGACTGTCCCTCCATTACTGTTGCCATGTGTCAGGGTAGAAGGTTGTGACACACGGCTATGACAACGCTTAGCAATGACAGGTGCCCTTCTCTGACGGAGCCACTTCTACAGATGGTTCCCCTGTGAGTGCTCAGTGTATCAGTGTACCTGATCCCTGTGTTCCGGACCCCCACTGCAAAGCGAGCAGTGTGCCTAAAAAAAAAAAAGCGTAAAATTCACACTCCAAACGGGAAGCTAACCAGTAAATTGGAAATGCTTAGCACTGGCCTGCTTATAAGATACTGTCTCTTACTCTAGATTTCAGACACCTGACATCCAACAGCTCCTCCCCACCCTGGATTCCCTCGTCACCTATCCACTGAGAGGTCACCAGCGTGACCGTGCAGCAAAGAACGCGGGCGGCTTCACAGGGCCACAGGCACTCTGTGGCTAACCCCCTGTGCTAGGAAGAAGTACTCCTCCGCCATTTATGTACTTATGTAGCAGTTATTGCATAAAATACAGCTTTTGCTCTTCAGGATTTTGCCTTCCAGCTGAGTCCTACAGAAGGGTCACTGCACTCTGTATGCCTCCTCCTTTTTTCAAGTATCTACCAGCATAGAGTTCATTCAGGATTTGAAATTCAGTTTTGAGGCTGCATGGTTAGTTTTACAATCAGACATCTGGTTCTATTTTGCCATATGTTTGCTGTCAATAATGCTGCTTTCCATCCGTATCATGTTTTGGACAGATGCACTGCACATGATGTTGGCATCTCTGGGATATCACTCAGACAAATCTCTATGGAAATAACCCAGATGAGTCCGACTGTACATATTTCTTTGGTACAACACTGTCTTCTGCTGTGCATTCAATCTTTTAGGTTACATGTATTTCTATAACACTTGGTCTATCACCTCTTTAAGCCCTTACTTTTATAGTAATTTTAATAACAAACACATTCTAATAGCTTAGTTCTTCTAGAAAGTATCTTTTAACACAAATGAGTAAAAAGATTGGTATACAGGAAAGCAATTTTAAACAGTTGTCTACAATATAAACAGCAACATGCAAACCACAAAACCAGCTATCGCATCTTAGTAAAAATACTTATCAATCATGGTGTGTACATGTATATTTAAACAAATCTACTTACATGTATATATAGACCTCTACATCTAAATTTTTGAGTGTTAATTTAATTCCCCCATGCATTCACATATTACATAATAATTTCAGATCAGGTAACTCATCATCTACACTGCCATGTCAAGCTAAAATCCACTAGCCTTCACCCTCTTGTGTCTCACTTTCTGTAGTCATTCACATAGAGGATGGAACTGACATAATTTAAAATTAATTTAGCCTTTCCTTTTTACAGATACAAATGAGCTCAATTTGCCCAGCAGAGGAGAAGCACAAACATTATGCGGCTGTGACTCGTTCCATCCAGAATATCGTAGCGGTGATTCCCTTGAAGTTCTAAAGGCGCTGCCCCTTCAGAGCTGCAGTTCCTGGGTGCATACCACCATCCTAGAGCAATAATGCTATTTGCCTACAATAATCCTGAGTAAAATGTCGGGAAGCAGTTCTGAAGGGAGAAGGAGGAGTGCTGTTTGCAAGAACCTTTATCACCATCTGTGATATATGGCATGGCATCGATTATTTGACTGGCTGTCACATAAGCAAAGCTCTTGTTCAGATCTCTTTACTTTTATAACCTCACAATACTATTAATGAGTCTCAGCATCCAATGCCGGTCCCAAGGGATGACCCAAATCCTGCAGGGTCAGAGCTCAATCACTTGACTCAAGTTTTAGAAGACTTTGAAACATCAACACACAGACAAAAAAAGAGTATCTGGTAAAAATAGTTGATATTTGGAGTCTGAGAACAAGACAGGCTGTCAGGAAGGCAGAGCCTTTATTACCAGCTGTACATAGTGTGTCTAGCCAACAAACATCCCAGTTTGTTTCTATGGAATCAGTAGGTGTTTTGTTTGGATTTTGATGTCAATGTACAAGAGAGAATAAACGTAATGCAGTGAATCAGATGAAGCTGAAGAAAATGAATGAAACACAGTGCAACAGTCACTTTCTGAAATTATTTTACTGACATGGACGTAAGTGAAAAAGTGTTATACATTAATGACATTACTCGATCAAATGAAATTTTAAGAAGTTTTATAGCTTGCCTATAATAAGACCCCGTAAACTTGAAGAAAACCTCTAGACTGCAAAAACAGAGAAACTGGACTTGATATGCACATCTTGCGTGTTTTGTCCTCTAGGGTGAGATGACCTTGGAAATAAAAATGTTTAAACAGCTATAGTTAGACCCCTCTAGTCCTCTCTCCGACAGCAAGTAGTAGAGGATCTTAAGAGAAAGTTTATTAAAAACGGAAAATTATATACACTGATACTTCCCCTAGTACACCACTTCAGCTACTTGCAGCCTAGGGACTTGTATCCTTGTGTTTAATAGGTTTTCACAGGTAAATATTTGTCTAAATAGGTATTTGCCTAACTGCTCCTGAACCGTCCATCAATTCTGGCATCAATTTCTGACAAGGAGTTCTACAGTTTAACAGAATGGGTTTTTTGGGGAAAAAGTCTACTCTGCAGTTGAAGAAATCTGAATGAGCTCTTAGAAACTCCTGTTATCTAGAGTTACACAGGATGGGGTTACACTGAGATGTGTAACCCTGAGGCAAATTTGTCTGCTTCTGCATCAAAACATTTGTATGCTCCTTTCTCTTTGCAACAAACAGATCCTCTTCCCTGAGTACCTTCTTCAAATCATTCTCTTGTTCGGAAACATCTGCTTTTAATCTTCCCATGTTTTTATTATCACTGAATTCTCTGGATTGCTGCCACTATGCACACAGTACAGGTTTCTAGAAAAAAAGCTAAGCAGTGAAAGACAAACAGCCCGGCAGAGAGAACTTGCCCACCTTGCCCTGTAGCTGTTCCTGTTAGCTGGAACGGCATGAAGACCCATCCACAGAGAGTTTTCTGAAATCTTGTGAACTGCCCATACCACGACAGATAACTGCAACACAGTGCTTTATACTCAGAAGAGAGTTCTCCGCTGGGTAAGAGGAGACTAAGATTTGCTGTGTTAATTTTGTCTCTAACTTACAATCTGCGAAAGTTTACTGTACATTCCGGAGTGTGTGAACATATAAAGAGCGAAACCATAAACAGACGTACATGGTTACGTGTCATCATTCAAACAAAAGGGACAAAGGGAGAAACGGTGATCCTGGGCCACTCAAAGAACAAATAATCAGCCAAGCCAACACTCTGCAGAACTACAGCTAAACGCCCATTTACACTGCGTAGTTTGCTGAAAGGAGTTGTGGCCATACAAACCAAGACAAACCCATTCTGAAAAAATACACCTTTTGTAGGAAAGCGTAGTTTTTAAGAAGCAAGATGAAGCAAAAAAAAAAAGCAAATAACAGTTTATGCTGAAAAATGCAAACTTATATGAAAACACTTTTTTTCTAGAGAGTTTAAATTTGTGAAGGCAGAAGAAAACATGAATCCAAAACGCAGGAGGAAGAAAAAACTGTTCTCCCAGACCATTATTTTATTACAGGGCAATTAAATGAGTGGACAGCAAGATTTCCCGAGTACTCCAAATTTCATCACATAAAGGTACAGAGAAACATGAAACATCGTATGCACAACTGTTCTCACTGCCTTCTCTTTTCTAAGACAGCTGATTCCCTAAACTCTTATGCCAACAATTGTTCTAGAAAATTGAAATGTAATTTTTTAACTGTTTCCTGGCATTCATGCAGTTAAACACACTGAAGATACTCTCCTGCAGAGAATTTTCCCCTTATCAAATGAACAGCTGGGACAGAAGCCTGAAAGAGACCCATGTAGAATTAGGGCCGAAGAGATTCAGAAGAAAAATTTATGTAACTACAAAGACTTTCAGTCAGACTGAACCCTCCTAACTTCACATTTTTTGTGGTTCTACCAGAAAAGATGAAGCACCTACTATTTAGTTGCTGCACATACATGTAACTGTCTAGGTCAGGCAACTACCATGAAGTTTTGCTAAACAAACATTTGCTCCTTTCCCACTGTGAAACTGACTTTGAGAGAACCTACACACAGTCAGAGTTCACCACTGGTGGCAAGCAGTGGCAGTACCCTTTCAAATAATATCAGCCCAGGAACTAGACCTTTCCAAGTGTAATTTCCCACAAACAAGGCCCTGTGAAGGAAAGGCTATCTGCTCCGGGTGGGGTCACCTGCTACTTTCAAAGCTGGTTAGCAATAAACATCCAGGATCTCTCTGTAGTCAATGGAAAAAATCTGGTGCCTGTGGATGATGATTCATCGCACGCTAAAATAGGCCAAGACAGGCAAGGCAGATCTTATACTTTAGTTTTTCAGAACACAGGCAGAAGTAGCATACAGGGTATTTTGTTTATTTGAATGGTTAAGTTCCTTCTCTTCTGGAAATCGTTTCCTTCGAAAGGGAATTGTATTTTACCACTGCGATACTAAGTCAATTATATAAATACACTAGCAATTCTGATTTATTTTAAATCAACCACTATTCCTTTTTTTTTTTTTCAGTTTTGAATGAGACAGAAATGAACGAAACTGGAGTATTTGAAAAACTGTATGAAATAAACACAAAAACGCGTAAGCAAATAAGGAAACTAAGCTCAAATGGCACTCGTGAAAAAAACTTCTGTCATATTTG